GAGAGGGAGTGTGGCCTGACATGAGGTTTTTAGATATAGACAAGGACAGATCATGCAGGGTCTTAAGGGTCAAAATGAGGAATTTGAGCTGTATCCTGAGAGCACAGAGATGCCACTGGAAGGTTTTAAGCTAGAGGCTGTGTTCAATGATTGTCCAGAAAGACCACCGTGGAAGCGGCAAGTCTATTAGAGGGTGTAGGAGTGGGGGCGGTGAAACCTGTCGGCAGATGAGTGTAGCGTCCAAGGCAAGAGAGGACAGACCTGGGACCAGGATGGTGACCGTGGAGACAGAGAAACATGGAAGGAGTTGAGAGGTCCTAAAGAGGTGGTCACTGACCGGGTGTGAAAGGGGAGAAAGAGGGATGTCATTTATACACTACACATTATAGCCTGCTGGGGTTGCGGGTAGCACGAGCCCCAGTTTCCAGGTGTACAAAGGAAGTCTCTGCGAGGCTGAGGAACTTATTGAAGAGCTAGAAAGTGAACTTCGCAGAACTCTCAACTCTGACATCATAATTATTTCAGGTATGTAAAGGCTCTTGTCCCAAATGATTCACCCTAAGTGCTATCATTACTTCACGGAAAACTCAGTGAAGGTCTGATTTCACGCATATTGAATTCCAACCACACCACAGCGAAGGCCATATGATGAGAAGGAACTAGTGTGAGTGCATGACATCATGGGCCAAATAGAGTCGCTATTCAAACGTGCACAGTGGACTCCTTACACAATCACCTAATTATAGTTCCTGAGGAAGCACCGTACAATATCACACTGTACAGAAGCCAATGGATAATTGTCAGTGGGCCAGACGGTCCTTTTAATCTGAGTTGATATTTGGAAGATAATGTGTAACAAGTTCAATGAAGTTTTTGTGGCGGGGCTTTTGGCTGAACAGGTCATACATCCTTCATGTCTGAAAGAAAGGCCTGTCCAGCTTGTGAGCTGAATGGACTCTTCCAAACTCTGGAACTAGCACAATTAAAAAAGTAAGCCTGACCTTAGAATCTTCTCTCCTCTAGTCCCAAAGAAAGGGAACAAAGAGGTCACGAAGTTCACGTAAATATGTGTGTATGCGACACGCAACAAGACATTCGCATACCATTGCTCTTCTATCTGCACTGACCCGGGGTGGTTTGGCCAAGACAAACTTTGATTTGTTTCCAAATATGGTTTTAAGGACAATGGTTAAATAACTTCCCTGAAGTCCCATAATTATGAGTCAGAGTTTGGAAACTGAGACTCTCCGAGCACAGGGTCAGGCTGCCTCATGACCAGTGTGAGCTCACTCACACGCACGTGCACAACGAGGATGAGTTTCGAAGTGCTGCTGTGACAGTTAAAACTGGAGAATGTCACACAGGTCTTGGCTCATGGCGAGAACTCAACAAATGGTCCCAATTATTTCCAATAGAAGGGCAATACAGTACATGAAAAATTCAAAATGAAATACAAGTGAATATAAATTATATGACTATTATACTCTGATCTGCCCAGAAAGTCTGAGACTGGCATTTGAGGATCACACACATATTTGAGCTATTATTTAACATAAAGCAACAACCAACTGCCATGCTATTAAACCATTCAATGTCTAAAATTTTACTGGTCCTATTAGCCTCACTCTGCTCTCCCCGGATGACTCGTTCTTTTTCATGATTCTCCCCGTACTTCAAGGTCTTGCTATACTTTGAAAAATGTATGCAATAATGTCATCGCTGCTTCCAACCTAGCCTGGGGTTTTCCCTCTTTTGGTTGACACACTTATTGAACTTATTCAATTTATTTGTGCCAGATGCGGCACTAGATACTGGCTCTACTAGCAAGTGGAATGTGCGGTCATTGGCACCACGTGGTTTGCATTCAGGTGGGGAGAGAGGACTGTAAGCCCCAGTGAGGATGTGAGGTATTGAGAGCTCTGAAAGCAGTGCAGCAGGCCCCCTTGTTCGTGGTTTTGCCTTCCTCAGTTTCAGTTCCCTGCAGTCAACCGTGGTCCGAAATTTTAAATGAAAAATTCCAGAAATAAACAATTCATAAATTTGAAATTTCCTGCTGTTCTGAGTAGGAAGAGGAAATCTTGTGCCACCATGCTCTGTCCTGCTCCATCTGCTTGGGACGTGAATAGTCCCTTTGTCCAGTATATCCACGCTGTACACGCTATTCTGTTAGTCACTTAGCTGCCATCACGGTTATCAGATCAGTTGTCCCGGTATTACAGTGCTTGTGTTCGAGTAACTCTTATTTTCCTTAATAAACGCACCAAAGCACAAGAGCAGTGAAGCTGGCAATTCAGATACATCAAAGAGAAGCCATAAAGTGCTTCCTGTAGTGAAAGGTATGTTTAGGGTTCGGTAATAGCTGTGGTTTCAGGCATCCACTGGGGGGTCTTGGAACTTACCCCCCATGGATAATGGGGACTACTGTAAATTCCAACTGTGGGGGGAAAAGAGGGAGAACCACTGCCTTTGCTCCAGAGGGAGGGGTATTCAAGGAGAGCCTGCCTTTCCTTCCACTCCACCGTCTCGGGAAAACCCAGAGGAGGTATCCATAAGTGAGCCCACTAGCCGGTGCAGTGAAAATGGGTTTATCTGGGTGATCGTGAGGAGGGAGAGCTGTAGACCAGTGGGAAAGAGCACCAACTGAACCCACCACAATTTAGTCCGACTGAGTTCCCTTTTGGACAGGCACAGGAGAGAGGTGATGCCGGCCTCCTCGCAGCTGACGCAGGCCCGGCCGGCATCCAGCCTCTTCTCCTCACCTCACCCCACTCTCTTCAGTGGATCGCTTTCTGTCGCCCTATCCTTAGCTCTTGCCACCCAGAAATATTTCTCCAGATGGGAGGACTGGCAATCAGCTCCCACCCCTTGTGTAATCAAATATCTCACCCTGAAGATAGGCTCAGATTCCCTGGCCTGCACTCAGCCCTCCGTTTACAGCGTGGCGCAGCCAGCCGGCCGGCCGGCCGGCCAGCCCAAAGGCTTCTGATTAAAATGAACAAGTGTTTCTCTAGGTGCAGAACGATTTCTTGGAAGAGAAACAATAGGTTCCTCTAAGGTTGGCTTTCAGGTCTCACACAGATAGGCCGTTTGTGAAGCAAAGGCAAACAGGCTGGTTTTAGAAAGTACAAAGAGATGTATTATTATTAATTATTGTTATTATTATTATTTAAGCTGTACTGCTACCTTTAGCTGTTCTGACTGTGAAGAACTTAGATATGTCTCTGGAATGGCATTCAATAGTTGGGGGAAAATCACACTATCTTAATGGGTTGGACCGCCAAAAATAAAAAATAATTTCCTGTCTCTCTTAGTTATAAAAATTTGCCTAATTCTCTCCAGATTGATCCCACTCAGCACCATGCTATGGAAATGTAAATAGTTCTGAAAATAAAACAGCTTTTATCATGAAAAATTTTAAATAATCATCCCAAACTCCAAAGCCGTTTATGACTGAACACGTCCCCTGCTCCAGGAGGCAAGATGGCATGGTCCAGCCCAGAGGCCACAGACTTCGTGACCTAAATGCAGTGGTGATATTCAAAGTATTTAACAGCCATAAAAGACTCAGAGTGAGGACTAGTCAGCAAATGAATGTGAGACTTAGCACTGGAACAGGGAGCTGGAGGCCTTTGATGCCAGATGGAACCTCTTCATAGCCAGCTTGTAAGGAAATGGGGCTTGGGGGTACTGTTGGGGAATGTCCCCCGGAGCAACGAGGGGCACTGAGGGAGCTCAGGAAAGCTATGTAGCAACAGAATAGGAAGGTTTCACCAATTTAACAACTGGTTCAGGCGTACCAGTGCACGCCCACTAAACACGGGCCCTGCCCACAGGGAACATGTAAGGACCTAAACGAGGGAACAAGCTGGCTGAGAGGTCAATGCCCTGCCTGAAGCGACAGCCATGACTTGGTTCCAGCCAATTGCTGCTAGACCTTCTGATTTTTCGTGAGAAGCTAAAAATCTGTATTTCATTTTTGCAAGTAACACACTTTAAAAACATAATGCCGAGTGAGCCAAACCAAACAGGTCAGCAAGTGACCATTTTACTAGCTCTGGTTGGCAGTGAACAAAGGGGTCAAGGCCACCTGGATCCATGGCTCCCACAGAAACATGAACCTACCAAGTTATTTCAAAAGCCAAAATCTGTCCACCCTCAAAACCCCTGCCCTGGTTCAGACCACTCCATGCCCCACCTGCATCACCACGACAGATTAAACTGGTCCTCCCTGAACATCACAGACATTCTCCTCTTCTATGGTAATGACTGTACATCTTACGTT